CTTCTTCTTACTATATATATATATATATATATATATATATATATATATATATATATATATATATATAAGTACAAAAACAAAAAGGGTAAAGGAAGTAAATGATTGTTGATGCTTTAATACGCAAGAGATTGAGGAGATTTGACAATGTTTTGGGAAGGGAAAACACTTAGAGGAATATTTGAATGAAGAATGAATGAATGAATGAATGAATGAATGAATAAGTGAATGAATGGATGAATGAATGAATGAATGAGTGAATGAATGAATATGCTGTTGTTTAAGATAGAATGAATGCATTAATATCTATGTAATATCTATACTTATATATCTGTCCATCTATCTATCTAATCTATCTATCCATTAGAACTATTAGAGCTGACATCACATGGAGTGCTGATATCACGTGTCTCGCAATGAAAACTTTTACGGAAACGGTCGGAAGTTTCATTTTTCAATATTTAGCAAATTTGAATTTTCAGATTAGAATGGAATGTGAAAATTTATTTAATATAATCACAGTAGCATTATCATTATCATACTGTTTGCAAAATTTCAAATGATTGCCTCAAGCATATATATATATATCATTTACTGTCATCGTTATCATCATCACAATCCCAATCATAATCCTAAGGATCACATTATCGTCATCATCATCATCACCATCATCATCCACCTCTCCATCCATCCATCCATCCAACCATCTATGTATCTATCTATCAGACTGTATGCTTGCATGTTGTGTGGTTGTCTGACGTGAAGGATTTCTATTAGTTGCCACGCCTTCACTGATCGTCCATTCGCCGAAGGCGGGGGTAGGAAGGCATCCATCGGAAAACTCTCTTTCCACCCTATTCTATCTGATCCTTTTCTCTGCTTCGCATGATTTCTTTTTCTCGTTGATTCCTTGATTGTTCTTGATGTTTTAGTAACTGGAAAACTGCTGCTAAAATAAAAGACAGGGAAAAAGGTGATGGTACGAGATGTCGCGGAAGGGGAAAGAGACTTCTCGGGGTGAATTGTAGGAATTACATTTCAGATTGACTATTTGTAAAAGGGAAAACGAGGAATTGGTGTAGCATCAGAGGATTGCATCATTCAATATTATATGTTTCAATACAGCACTAAAGTGGCGCTGCAACGCTACGTTGCTCGATTTTCACTGTTTATCATAGCTAAATGTGAATAAGTGCAATCTGTTTCGATTTGTCACTTTGGAAAATTTTCATCAAATTTACTGGTACTTGTGACTGGTGAATGATTAGTATCCGAAAATATGACATCAGCAGAGCAGTTTGCACCAGAGATCTCAAATTATTACTATGATCAACAACAGCAACACCAGCAGCAGTCAAATCCGAGGCTTACAGCTACCAATAATTCTGCAACAGCATCTACACCACTTTCCGGCTCAACATATTATCCAAATACGCAGTACAGTGCTCCTGATTCCAGTCAACATGGTCCGGTCGGTACATTTATGTTTTATAGAAATCTTGGTGCTCATTTGGATTAATTAGCTTTGAGAAGTAAGCAAAAATAATAAGATTTATGAAGCTAATTTTAGGAGAACAGTTTTAAAATTTGTAATCATTAAACGATTAATATGATTTCATAAAATTGCTCATTAAAAGTATTCCTTGAAAAGAAAAGTAATAGATGAGTAATTTTAAGCAATATTATTTTACCAGACTTACAAAAGTGAGGAAGTGATAGTACTTGAAGTTATCACAACGGTTATCAACTCGTCGTATTAGAAACGCTGATATTAGAAGTATCATAGATGGAAGCCTTATTTTTTTTAATAATACTCAAAATCAATGACCGGTTATTGCAATGTTTTGTACAATTAAAGACTTCTAACTTTATAATAATTCATTAATGTTATATTTTGTTAGAGAAAATTCACTCTTACAGGATATAAAGTCTTAAATCTGAATTTCGGCAGCGTAGAATTTGCTCTTCTGAATTATCGCCAACTTAAGTGGCAGATTTTACACGACCTCTGTTATGGGGTTGTGACCCCTGTTTAAAAAATAAACTAAGATTCAGACCCCTATGATGAGGTCAGAATCTTAGTTTGTTTTTTAAACTTTTAGATAACTATTTGCCTTTTGATAACTTTTGGTAACTTTTAGATAACTATAATGGTATCTAGAATAGGTTGAGTACAAAATTGGAGTTATTGTAAATTAACTTTCACAACTTAGTGTGTGAATATTTCTAAAAAAGTTTGTTTTCACTAAGCGCTCGCTTCTAATTAAAGTTTCTGTTGTGAAATACTTTGTGATGATTAAATCTTCAAGAAAAGGACCTGGGAAGTAATGATAGACTGAAATTTGTTTCAATTCTGATCTTCGTCGTACGTCGTAATTGAAGCTCACAAGTTTGGATCCTAATACTAGCATTTCAAATTACATGAATGAGTTTGTTGACACTTACAATCTTCAAAGATCAAATCTTCCTAGCACCTTGTTAGTTTTACCATAATGATTCTGAAATAGAATTATTTTTAGGATCACAAGTCTGGAATCCCTGAAATCCCAAATCTAATGGAAAAAAATAATTGAGCAAAAGGGTGCTATTTTTTTTAATCTGCTATGAAATCGTCATAGAAAGTCATTTGTTTCTTAATTAATCAAACTTCCATTGACATATAGGTCTTACTAGTTGTCATGTAAGACTTTCTCCATGAAATGTTGCGTTTATCATTGAAGAAGTGAAAAAATTTGCCAACACATTGAAATGCATTTGCATAAAATATTAAATTGCGAGTTGAGAAGGGTTTGACATTCTAAGAAGTCGATAAGGAGTTATTATTTTTTATAATAACGGGTAATAATAACATCATTTTACTGTAGCAGATAATCTGACGGATACTGTAAGTTTTCTTCAGGCAATTAAAAAAAGCAAGCAGCTGGTTAACCTAAAATTCACCTTCGTTAATCTTCGTAATTGCTGGAGAGTGGAAAGCTTCTAGAAACAAACTGAATCTTAAGTTATGAATATATGGTAAAGACAAAAAAAAAAGCAAAATAATAACTTTTAGGAAGAAATGAAAACAATTAGATCTGGTGGAAGAGAAATAATACTTTGATGTTTTTAAAATCTTAGAGGTTATTAATGAAATTAACAATAAGACAAAAATTTTTTGCGTTACAATTTGAGAGTGAAATTTTTTGAAAGAAATGGCAACATTTTGAAAGAGTCGTTAGTTTTGGTACGGATGCTCACTCACTGTTAATGAGTTTTAATAAATCAAACGAAAGGCATTGAGCCAATTAATTCAGATTTATTACATCGATAATGTGTTTTTAAGTAACTTCCTATCCCTGACCTTCCATTTTTCACAATTTCCATGCAGGTGTAATTTGTATTTACCTGGATGTCATTGGCTATAAATCAGGACAAGCAAACCGTGCCATTCATTCATTCATTCATATATCTACGTGATGTGAAATTAATAATTATGATGCCAATTAATTTATTCTACCATAAGGTGCTATTTTCAATATAACAAAGATTGTGTAATATACGTTTGAATAAGATCTACTAAGAAACAATCAATAATTACTAATCTTTGTCATTCCATCGTTAATCATTCATCCATACATAACTTCCTTTAAGAGTATAATTTGATAAGATCTTTCGTTTGATGAACCGACTATTCAATCTTATTCTTCCTCATATCTTCGCTTATTTTCTAATCTCATTACCCGTTGGTATATCACATGCACTAAGGTAGCGAGTGTTAAATCAAAATTTCAAAAATCTTGACTATTATAGCTGAACGTTATGAAGGTTAAGTTAGCCTGGATAGCACTATTCTTCTATTTAACTATTTCATTAACTTTTCTTTGAGACTTTTCGTTCTCTTTTAGTATTAAAAATACAATATAACTTCATTGTTATTAGTTTGAAGTAAATTTCATATGTTTAATAAATACTTTAATTCAATGTGATATTTTAAAGTGAAATTTCTTGATTGAAATTTTATTGGAACCATTAACGATTGCAAGGCTTATTAAGTGCTTTTCAAAATTTAAAAAAAGAAAAGAAGAAGTAAATATGAACTCAAACCTAACTACTTCCTATTTTTGTGTTATTCTTTTCACTTCAATACAAAACTTTGAAACTAATTTTCTTTTTTTCTTTGAATTGCAGAGTTCATCTTGTAATTACAATAACGGAGAGTGGAATAAGAATGGGAAAGATGGTGAAAAGGACGAAGACGATGAAGAGAAGAATAATGTGGCCGTTTATCCGTGGATGACACGGGTTCATTCAGCTAGTGGTTAGTTAATGATTCATTTAATTTAAATTTAAAAATAACTTTTAAAAAAATGATTTTAAATAATTTTAGAAATAAGTTTTTCAATTCTAAACAGGCACTGAAATTATATTTGATGTGAAGTTTGGGTAAATTATGTACTTTTGGGTAAATTATGCTCTTCTTTCATACAAGTAGTAGAATAAAGCTATCGAGACTGCTGACAGATTAGCTCGATCAAATTTGTTTCAAATCATCAATAGTTTAAAAATTATAGTGCAGGTAAATTATGCTTACTGTATGTGGTGTCAGGGTTATGGTAATTTTGTGAAATATTTCATTGATTCACTGATTATTTATCTAGAGCTACTTCGAGACTAATGCTAAATTTAGCATAGGAAAGTTAATTTAATGTGCGGCAAATGCCATACTGTAATAATAAGTCAGCAGCTGCAGTTGATTAATTCATATCAAATAATCGTAGCTAGAACTAGATGCAAGAATATCAATATTTGATCATTCAAATGTCAATGAAATTGCAATATACTTTAGTTTAACATAGTTTTAAAAGATAATTAAATAGTCAAAAATTGAATTCCGAAACTTATGCAAACTAAATTTGAATCAAATTTGAAATAGCAATTCTGGAAAGAGATAAAATTATTTCTTTTTAGTCTATTTTCAAGCTTTCCCATCTGCTTATTTTTACTATCTTACTTTGATTCAAATGGGATCCATCTTCTTCATTGCATTATTAGTTTTTTTTCCTCTTAGATACAACATTAAAGAAATAACAGATTAAATGAATTAGTCTGTTCATATTCCGGTATATCTCGATAGACTTATGAAACTTATGCAAATAAAGCTTACCATATCATAGTATCATCGTTTTTCATCCAGTATGATAATTGATGAGAGGCACAGGATAAGAGAAAATCTTTCGTCTAAGATAGATGAAATGGATTTTCTTCTTTTTTCAAACGATTTTTATTTTTTTAAATGCCATTTTCATATGTTTTATTCTTGCCTTTTCTTTTTTACTGAGAATTTGTCTAAGATTAATTGAAAATAAATATATTTTTTATTCATTTTACTAGATCAGCAATTATTTATTATGCAAATTTTTATCAGTTTTTTTTTTCGTTTCTCAAATGATTGACAGTATTTGGTTGTTGGGACAATGCAGTATGCTTGAAAACTGATTAAAAAGTGGCTTGATAGCTAATATTATTTAGGAGGCTAAAAGCTTTAGAGCTTTCTCGTCCTCTCTTCTTGAGCAATTTTAGAAACGACCGAAAAATGAGGAAAGGATCATCCATTGGTAATGAGAAATGCATGTCAAACAATCATTTATATTCATAAAAAGCTTCCGCAAATAGCTGTAAAGCATGAGTCACGCACATCGAATAGTATTTATGTATTTATTTTTTGGAAGATGCGAATTTCATTTTAAAACTTCCAGAAGTTTTCCTTCCTTCCAAGGGATTTTTCTTTTTCCTTCCATTTTTGCAGTAATCCAGGAAAGAAGTGCTCAAATTACGGTTAAGTAAGAAATTTTAAGTAATAGATTAGATATTGTAAGACGAAGAAATTAGCCAAGAAAATCTAATTAACCAATAATAAATATGCTTATTTTGATCAGCATAAATACACTTATTTTGATTCATACAAAACGAAAGTGACAGGCAGAAAGACATATAGTTAGCATTAGCGGTAATGTCGTTTCCATTTGATTATCATTTTCAATTTATCACATTCCCATCACTTTTTTACTTCTCCCTTATTATTTATGTCATAAAATTGACTGTTTGATCGAACTTTAAATTATTCCTGTGGTACATTTGACCATTTCTCATTGGTTTTTTTATAACTTAACTAAAAATATTACTGACTAAGTTTTCCAGTGAGATGTAAGTGATAAAGGAATGACTTAAAACTAGATCGTAGATCCTTATAGACACTTAATCCATTATTAAGAATCAGCCGTGACTTCACTGGTTTGTTTGAAGCGGTTTTAGAAAAAACCTGACCAAAGGACAAGTTTCAACGATTGTCACGCTGAATTTATTTTGAATGCCTAATGCAAGATCTGATATCCTACAACTTTTGTAGCAGAACTGATACGATAACTTTGATTAAATTCACTTTATCAAGGTTATAAACGGAGCTGATTTTAAGATGTATAAATTAGATACAGCAACT